CAACAAATCTAACTTGTGTTGTGTTTGTTGAATGGGAGTTCCATAAAACATTATGTTTCTTAAAACTTTAGTGCAACAGAGTGTGAACTATATGTTTTTTGTACCTATTGAGCAACTGTTTCGAAATGTTACTAAAAAGTTGACGAACCAAGATGTGTTGAAGAACCTATTTGCAATCTTGTTCCAATTAAGCGTATGAATCTATAAGTTGTTACTTGTTACTATACTATAAGTTGTTACTTGTAAAGTATTTTTTTTTAATTAACTATGCTGATTAGAATTTAGGTTTGCGGGCACTTCATGAAATAGGGGTCTGGTAAGTGTGTTTTAGTTGCCCACTGATGTGACGGGGTGTGGCATCTACCAGCTTGTCAAAATATCTTGTGGGTGATCGGCTCACAACAGAGCGCTGCGTTGCCTTACAGAGATGAAAAAGTCCCTGGGTACATTATGTAGAGTGACCACTGACCATATCTTTGATATTGCTTTTATTAAACATGACTTTGAGTTTTAAGAACTCATCATCATGCTTATTTAATTCGGTTGGAATGAAACCAAAAATTAATCACATTCGCAAACACAACCGCACATAAATACAAATAAATATGGTTGTACTGAACATGTTGACCCGCAATGTACACAATTACAATGCTGTAGGTAAGACTGGCAGCCATATGTAATCCACCAGAAATAATCATAATAAACTTATTTTGCAATTTATTCATGTTCACACCCTATTAACATAAAAACATTAAATACTTATTACAGCTCTAATAATTTCCAATAGTTTCAATACAAATATTTTATTTTACAGATCAATTTTTATTTCGACATATTTTCAAGCTGCAAATTTGTGGCATCAACTTATAAGTTTTTGAAGGCGTATATATTTAATCGAAGCAAAATGTGTAATTTCACTATAAAACCAGATGCGTTTGAAAAAAAAGACTAGTTATCAATATTTTAAAGTAATTAATATAATACTTTTATTCAATGACTTTTTCTACGATTGTCATCTCTGATTTTGCAGTCTGAATAAAAACATCAGTATGCTTTTTCCGCATCACCTCACAAAAAATATCCAATACATTTATGTGGTTTACTTGAATGTCATTTACATGTATTCGAAAACATCACAATACTGTTTTAAATATTTCAGGGAAACATTGCAGTTAAGTCAGTTAAAACCTCATTTACAACTTGTGTCATTCAAATATCATGTTACATGCATCTTATTTGCAACACCTTATGCCACAAACATAAGTTGCAAAGAGACTCCACCTTCTGCGCTTTTTAAGGTACAATGAAGTTTTATATGTGGTGCGTTGTCCCTAGTTTAGACCGTCTATTAGCCACACTAAGGTTGTTGTTACTAGCTGAGAAACAAATGGTGTTGCTTGGGGCCTGCTCTTGACATCTGTGCTGCCTCATCAGCCGTTTTGGGATACATCGATATATCTAATCTCAGACTTCACTGAAACAAAGATAATAGTTAGGAATACTATTTTGCAGAAAACACTTATTTTCAGTATAACTACGCTTAATACCGTTAAATCTACCATGATTTCAGTATAGTTGACTATAAATATAATCAAATTTACTACCATTCTGTCAAAACGACTATGCTGACTCAAACGGTATAGTAGTTTTGATAGAAAAATTAGTCAAATTAAATGAATTTCGTTTCTGCACAAATCTATTGGTGGGAGTATTTAATTTAAACCATCAATATAGTATTTTTGCCAATGGATTTTGTTTCTGTGTTGGATGTGCTGGTGTTGCTACGGGAGTAGCGTCTGTCATCCCAAAGCGCTGGATTATCTCTTGAATGTTAGATTGTCGGTCCAACGAAAGATGCCCTTGCACTCGATCTCTAACAATTCGAATACCCTGGCAGTGTGAAGCTTCACCCAAGTCTTTTATTTGGAACTTATTCATCAAACATTTCTTCACAGCGGCGCCGGTGGTGTAGTGGTAAGCGTGATTACCTCTCACTTTAGCAGGCCTGGATTCAATCTCAGTCGGCGCCGCCGGGATGGTCTGAGGCATAACATCTCTGATCACGCCTGGCTTCGGAAGGGAAGTAAAGCCGTTGGTCCCCGGTTCATGAGTTATAGTCGATATGTAAGGTCCAGGTGTGGGAGCTGCCTCCCTGGCGTCGGTAGCATTGGTGCTCAGCACGGAAAACAAATCAAGGAAAAAACAAACATTTCTTCAGCTTCTTCTTCAACACCCGGTTTTTTGTAAATATCGGTAGGTCATCTACGTTTATCGTGACAAATAGCATAATGTCACCATCCAGGACAAAGTACAGGCACGCATATACTTGTGATCGTTGCAGTCCGAAGTCTCGCAATACGGCATCAAGCTTTCCGTTGCATACACGGCTCGACTGCTTGAGGCCGTATAGCGCTTCTTGAGTCTGCACACCTTGCCGTTGACTTTATCGAATCCTTTCGGCTGCATCATGTACAATTCTTCATCGCCTAGCTCACCCTGCAGGAAAAGTGAACACATCCATCTTGGTCCACATCGAAATCGAATTGTTGAATAACATACTACCATATGCATCTTCATAGTCGATTCCTGGTTTCTGTGTTTCTCCCTTCACCACGGGTCTCGCTTTGTATCGCTGTATGTTGCCGTCGGGTTCACGCTTTTTTAAGAACCCACTTATTACGGATTGCCGCATTACGTCTGATTCTGGTCCAACGATGCGATTTCTTCCTTCATCGCTTGTATCCACAGCTTTCGATCAAGTCGCCGCATGACCTCGTCGTAGGATTGTCGATCGTCCTTCATCGATCGTTGATGAATCGGATGGCTGCGTGAGAAAATCATCACCAGAAAATGAACCGTAACTAACAAAATTATCATACTTGCCTGGGTATACGTGCTCCCGACCCTTGTTGACTTTCAACTGGTGGGAGCGCAGGTTCGTTGCAGGCATCTTCGGAATCATCAAAACATTAGCTGAGCTGCTGTCCGCTGATTCTTCCTCGTCAGAGCTGACTTCGTTCTCATCAGAACATTTTATAGGAATTACGACTTCTTCTGTGAACAGCTCCATGAATTCGAATCCGGCTTCGAATCATGTTCACAAGCTGAAACGGACTTTGGCATGCTTTCGCTGATCACGGTTACATCTCTACCAGTGGCGTCCCGTAACCTCACTTTTTACCTGTGCACCAACTTTAAAAACCAGATTTTATGCCATATTCATACTCGAATCGGTTAAAAAATACATTTAATCTTCTAGTTCTCAAATTAACGTGCATTAACGTACAGTCCGCCTTCTTCGACACCATGGATTATCAATTCACCATCATAATCTAGCACCTCGCACTTGTCTGCCGAGAAAATAACATTATGGCCTCATGAAGTAATAAAATTGGGTTGTTAGCGGAATGCTTAAATAAAACAGCAAAAAGGCTATCTTCCATTTAATTCCACTTAATTAATTTTGGTATCCATGACAGATACGTATTTCGATTACAATATGCAGTCTTCATCAGTGTCATTCCCACTAAAGAACTTCTAAGTACTCATCCCTACACGCTAACTTCAGCTTACTCACCGGGTGAGTCGATCGTACTCACTTTCGTCCGATGTATCGAGTTGTCAAAAACTGAGTAAACCAGAAATGTCAAATTGAGTAAAAGCCACTCAGGCAGCAAAATCCTGGACTTGGAAAAAAATACCAGTCATGTCGGAGGAATCGTCCTGAGAAAGGTTACTTAAAACCGGCTGAAATGCCTTCAGGTAACTAGTAATAGCTTAGGGAAACGGTGTTGAACTATTTTCTGCTCCGGTAGAATTAATCCGGAGCAGGAAATTTCCATTTCCTTGAATAAAAATCAAAACAAAAACCCTCCCCGCGACTGAAAATATCGCCGAGTGGATTTGACTCAGTCTACGTGAGAACGTCATTTACTCAAAAGTGAGTCAACATAAGGCTACTCAATTTTGAGTAGTCCTACTTGCCGCTGAGATGAGTACATTCGACTCATTACTTGAACACTGTCCATGCTCACTATACCCCACCTGTTCACTATGCCCCTCCTTCCCCTATAAGTTCCATTATTCTCATTCAAAATTCACGTACAAATTACGTGAAAAACATTTTAAACAAAACGGAATATCACGTAAAAGTTACCTGTTTTCATCCCGATTTCACTTAAGCTGTACGTGGAAATCAGGTCTTATTACTTATTTACCTGAATAATTACGTAGATAATCGCAGTTGTATTTTGATCGGCTACGTGCAATTCCGGTGAAAGTTACGTGAAAAATAGGGTGGACGAAAACCACCTATGTTTTCACGTAAATCGGACGTGACGATTTTTCAGAGTGTATTTGAAGTCCATGAGTGCTCAATTTTGGCCAAACGATGCTCTGAGACATGATGAATCATCATACAAAAAATGAGCGCCCTATTTACCCTTAAATGTTCATGAATAAAAAACTAATTGTGACGTAGGCTCATCGCTTACGTGTATTTTGTCATGGCAAGGTTCTTACAATTTTAATAATTTTTAAGCGTTAATCCACTGACCTCTATCATGTGCTAGGAACTAGATATTGCTCGATTTTGAATCACTCGGAAATGTCATTCAATGATAACGATCCCGTTTACCGCAAATGTCAATCTTCAAACTCGGCGGATTGCCAATCTGATAGCGTTGATCCGGGCAGGGACACGTCACCGCATACGGATGGCGATGATAGCGAGGGCACTGCCGCACATAGTCTTCCGTGGGTCTTGGTAAGTTCGGATAACGCTTCTCACAAACGTCGAAGTAGGGTAACTTGTGCGACTGGCCATTGTGATCCCGGTAGTAGTCCCGATGCTTCTGACAAAGCAGGTAGAATTCGTCAATTTCCCGCAGCCGTCCCTGGTCGAAAACGGTGAAATTTCCTCCAACCTTGGGCAGCACTCGACAAATCTGACGACGAATTTTATTGCGATCAAATGACATATCTTCTTCTTGTTCTTGCAGGGTTCTGGTATGATCAAAGCTGGTTTCGCCGGTGATCACATTCCAAAGTGCCGGTTTCCAAATTAGTAAGTGTCACGGAACGTTTCATGACATGCTTTTCTATTTGCTAACACTTTGTTTCTGTAGTATTGGCAGACCGAAGCACGTGCGTGTTATGGCTGGCGCCTTGGAGGGGGACTTGTTTGTGGGACCAAAAGCCGAAGACTACCGTGGACTGCTCAGTATCCGCTACCCGATGGAGCACGGTATCGTCACCGACTGGAACGATATGGAGAAAATTTGGACGTACATCTACAGCAAAGATGAACTATCCACATTTGCCGAGGAGCATCCGGTCCTGCTGACGGAAGCTCCACTAAATCCGAGGAAAAATCGCGAAAAGGCTGCGGAAATCTTTTTCGAAACGTTGGGAGTGCCAGCTCTGTTTGTATCGATGCAGGCAGTGCTCAGTCTTTACGCCACCGGTCGTGTCACTGGTGTGGTGTTGGATTCCGGTGATGGGGTGACCCATGCCGTTCCGATCTACGAGGGTTTCGCCATGCCTCACAGTATCATGCGAGTGGATATTGCGGGTCGGGACGTTACCCGTTATCTCAGGACGCTAATCCGAAAGGAAGGCTTCAATTTCCGCACAACGGCCGAATTCGAGATTGTAAGATCGATCAAGGAGAAGGTCTGCTATCTACCGACGGTTCCGCAGAAAGAGGAAACCGTCGATGCGGAGAAGGTGAAGTACACTTTGCCGGATGGAAATGTACTGGAAATCGGTCCGGCGCGGTATCGAGCCCCGGAGGTACTGTTCCGACCGCACATGCTTGGCGAAGAGTGCGAGGGTATTCACGAAGTGCTGATGTATTCGATCCAGAAATCCGATATGGATCTGCGGAAGATGCTGTATCAGAACATTGTACTATCCGGTGGTTCAACGCTGTTCAAGGGCTTCGGCGATCGGTTATTGTCGGAGATTAGGAAGCACGTGGCCAAGGATATGAAGATTAGGGTGAGTAGTGATCGTTGAATTCTAGGCTACTAGGCCTCTGCTGCTTTCAACTTTGCAATTATATCTCCTTATGATTATGTTGATGTTTTTGTATTTCAATACCTACTTCAGAAGAGTTCTAGGAACACTAACTCGCCTTTATTAATTTCGTAACAACAACAAATCTCGTCCACAGATCGCTGCACCTCAGGAGCGAATCTATTCCACCTGGATGGGTGGTTCGATTCTGGCATCGCTCGACACGTTCAAGAAGATGTGGGTTGCGAAGCGAGAGTTCGACGAAGACGGGCAGCGGGCAATTCATCGAAAGACATTCTAAAGTATAATCACCAAACCGGCGAGACGGCTTTCATATAGACGAACATGCATTACATACACACCCACTCAGCACGTACTAGGCTCTCACTCAACATTCAAACACACATACAACACACAAACAACTCTCAGGTCGCAGTGCAACCATGCTTCGATGTCAACAAGGTGGCGCAGATCGGAGACCAATCAGGGAATCGTCGTAGCAGGTTTGAAGGGAAATGGACCGAGAAGGTAAGTCTATGCTTTTTAAATTTCTACGGTGAAGAATTGGCCCCATGTTGTGTTGCGCGGTGGATAGAGCAGGAACCAACCGAGGGAGTAAGCCTATGGGGTGTTCTACATTGAAAGTATCTTCACTCTTTAATTTTCGAGTACGGTTAAACAATCGCTATGTGAGATTCGTTCATTAGACAGTTTTGCTTAGACAGGAAGAAAGTAAAGGTGTTTTGTTGCGTTAGGACCCGAAATATAATATATAATGTGATTGACATCGTGTGGGCACTGTTTATTGTTGCTTGCTGTCTGTTCGTGAGAACGCAGTCAAGATATTTTTGAAAGTTTGATTTCTAGATACATTTGTGTTCGTTTTTAAATTACAAATATTGCTTAAAACGTTGAGTTTGAACTATCTCGATATCCGTTCAATTGCTTTTATTTCATACAATGCACAACGGTTGAAATGAAACCAGTCTCAATAATACCCTGTTTTACGCTACTTGGATTGTTTGATCTTCTTATCTATGTTCTTAAATGCAGAAATATGCAATTTTGAAATCCATTCCAGCTCTGTTTTCTTATGTGTTTGTGCTCCTACTATTTCTGAACTTTTCCACAAAATGTCTTCTACTAAAGTCGTTGCATAATTCCGGCTTCGAGCAGCTTGATTTTTCTTCTTCCAAACTAAAAACGAAATCTCTCTCAAACGGTTACATACACACTGCGATGAGGATCTTTTATCGAAAGCAAAAAAAAACTGTAAACAGTGGATCGCTTCATTGGCTAAGACTAGTAAGTTATAATTTAATTATTTATATACTTAACAAAAACCAAGAAGGTAAAACAATATAAAGATAATCTAAATAAACTAATGAAGTAGATATTATGTAATGAAATTGAATGCGATAGTGCGGAAGATTTGAAGTAACAATTACGTGGGTACGTAGTAACAAGTGGAAATCGACTGCGAGAGAAGAAAATATATATATCGGTAAAGTGAAACTAACCGGAATATGTGTCAGATGTGTTTTGGTGATGTAGAACAAAAGAACCTCATGTTGTTGTTGTTGTTGTTGTTGTTGATTGGTGCAGAAAATGCTCGACTGAAAACCTCGTAAACTGGGATGAAACCAGCAAACAGTAGATTTGTGTAGATTTGTTCAGTATTAACAGTAATACCATAGAGGTAACTCTAAGACTAGTAGGTCCCGAAGAAACGAGCTCTACTTTTTGGCTCTGCTCTGGTACTATCTTCGGTCCCAAGCTAATCGATTCATCCCTCGAAACATAGGAAAATCCACTAACCCCTCATTTTATCTGTCAAACTTTCTTAGCGAATCAAAACAAACATTGTGTAGTACTAGAATTTCGACTAGAATAGGATACGTTAATCGTTTGCTTGGGACCAATAGGCTAGTCAAGTAGTGAGCCAATTTAAAATCGTTAAATTCGTATTGATTGTTGGTAATACTCAGTTTTATATACTCTAACGGTCTTACTCAAATGCACCTAAACCGATAGATTTTAGAAATGGAAGAAGCCACTTTTAAATGCACTTTTTCATATAGGGGAAAGTGGGGCAGTTTGACCACCAGCTCACTAATGATACCAAATTCAGTGAAAAATTCGAATGAATTTTAACCAAATGTATAGTTTCAAGCCCTATTATTAAATTGCCCCAATTTCTCCTATTGCCAATTTGCCGTTACACATTTTACCGGAGGCATTGTGTTCGGGGTGTTAATGGTTGCAGTTGTCATGAAAGGGGTGCTCCGTTTTCAACACGAACAAATCGCTTGTTAACCCATACATTTCTTGGCACACTTTGATAGTTTATGTTACTTGACGTACTCTTGTAGGCAGAGCCGTACTCAGGATTTTTGTTTAGGTGGCGAACTTTCAGTTTTTGAATGTGTTTCACATTCCATAAGGGCAGTCAAATTCTGTTTACTCGGACATAAAGCGGGAGTATTCAGCCCAGAGATGCAAGGCGCATTTAGAAAAAAAAAACTTCAACGATATCAACATGTCTTCACATGTCATCACCGCTACTTTTAAATTTTTTGGGCGGGGGAAGGTGTTCATGTTCAATATTCCAGATTTATATAACAGAGTCTGCCCAGATGTACAGGGATCTTCTAAAGAAGTCCGAATTAGCTTGGAGAACCGCTCACTGTTCACCTCCGGAATCTACGTTCGCTCTTTATTAAGTCCGAAGCTCTACAAGTCACATGCCGTAGCTATATGAAATATTTCACAGACGTCCTTGAGCGATAACATCATTGTGCTGGGTTATTATAATCTCCCTCATTTACTCTGGAATTTCGGCGAGGACATGAATGGGTATCTGCCTTCAAACTCATTAACGGAGCAGGAAGTGGCTCTTACCGAAGAATTGCTTGCTAATGGTCTAATTCAGGCTGGATTTGGCATTCACTATCAATCCAGACGTTTTTGATCTCCTTAAACCAGCGGTTCCACTGCTTAATGTTTACATCCAATATGCCCGATCATCATGATGCTCCAGACGTATTTGATCTTAAAATCTGTGACCTAACCGCCCTAGAGCACATACTTGCAGCTGTTAATTGGTCCCGGATTCTGAACGGTGATTCAGTGAACGTCGTTACAAACCAGTTCTACGAAAAATTGCACGCAATTTTCCACGAGTGTTCTCCTCTTCGTAGACCTTTCTCCGGCTACTATGCGTGGAAACCCTGGTGGAATACAGACGTAAGCTCCGCAACAAACTCCGCGAGGCCCGCAAACGGGTTTTCATCTCTAAATCCGAGGACAACCGAAATACTCTTCGTTCAATCGAAACTCAATGCAACGAACTGGCCGATAGCTACGAAGAACATGTTCAATAAACACAGTCTAACCTGAGATAAAACCCATCGAATTGTGCTAGATCGTGTAACCACAACATCGCCGAAAGAGGTCGCAAATTTGTTGGCTACGTTTTTCAATGTGTTTATTTGTTTATTGAAAAATTCAACTGATAATTATTGTCTAAATGAATAAAACTTCAACTAAATAGTTACAGTCAACAGTACGGAAATGCCTAGTAGCCGATGACGAAACACGTCAGCGAACACGTTGAAGTTGAAGAAGTTGTTGAATTGCCGGCTGATTTCTCGAATTGGCTCATGTTGTGTATAATTTCGGCGCCGTGGCTCTAAAAACCGAAATTCGAGTTGACGAAGAGGCCTCTCAGGGGCATACAGGCTGTGACAACAGTGTTGGACAGTCAATGTCATCCGTAAGCAGCTTTCCAGCGAACATTGCTTGAGCGACCGCCCGTCTCACATCTAATGGTTCGTTTCCCAGGAGACGGCAACGCTCCTCGTACCGTGACAAGTTCGTTGAGTCACGCCAGTTGAGGAAACGAAGAGCATATCTCACAAACTTGCGTTGAACTGATTTGTTGAAGCGAAGCTGTTAGCAATCGAAGCAAGCCTTGACAACTTAATTATAAACGTCTTAAATAAAATTATTTCTTCTCTAACCACTACCAAAGACAGACGTCTTTAGCTACTCTCTACAGGTTATGGGCCTGTCGTGAAAGAAGATAAAAAAAATGAGTACAAGTTCGAATTCCAACGGAGTTTCTCAAGGCGGTTCCTCAAGTATTCCTCCCATCGAGAGGTTGACTGGACGGGACAACTGGTCCTCATAGAAGTTCGCAGCGAAAACTTTTCTTCAGCTGGAAGGACTCTGGGATGCAGTGAAGCCGAAGCAGAAACCAGACGGAACATTCGAACCGGTGGATGTGCAGAAGGATCTGCGAGCGCGGTTGAAACTGATCCTGCTTCTCGATCCGCTAATCTATGTGCACATTGAGGACGCGGAATCGGCCGAAGCTGCATGGACCAAGTTGGAAACAGCATTCGAGGACAAAGGACCTTCGGTTTGCTCCACAAGCTCATCAAGTCGGATCTGTATTCGTGTGGATCAATGGAAGAATACGTGAACCAGGTAATTTCGACAGCGCACCAGCTGAACGGTATCGGATTCAAGCTTCCGGATCTCTGGATTTTCATGATTTTGTTGGCTGGCCTCCCGGACGATTACCGACCCATGATTATATCCTTGGAAAACTCTGGAGTTGCCATAACTGGCGATTTTGTCAAGACCAAACTTCTTCAAGAGCAACCGTAGCTAGGCAGCAAGAAAAACAACCAGGCCTTCGCAACCAACAAACGGCATGAAAAAACCTCGAAGCAAATGAAGCAGTCTACTTCATCCAAGGGCCCGAAATGCAGAAAATGTGCTCGGTACGGACACATCGCCAGGGACTGCAAGGATTCAAGGAAAGGTGAAACATTTTGCACGGTTCTATCTACGTTTGGCAAGAAGGATGCGAACGACTGGATTTTCGATTCTGCGGCGTATGCACATATGACGAGCAATCGAGAGCTCCTCACAAATCTGGATCAAGCAGATGGTAAGGTCTAGGGGCAAGCCAGCTGTACTCAAAGTTAATATTTTTGCTCCGAGTAAATTTGAGTAACTCATAATTACTCAACAATGACCAAAGTAGTCTGGCCTTATATAGGTACATCAACAAATACAAATCACATTGTGAATAAACATTATGGGTCAGAGGAGAAGGAGAATCTGAATTATTTTTTTTTATTTCTTGATACAAATCGCTATTTAATCAATTCAATTCATTCACAGCATGAAATCTAAGCGAAATCTAAGAACTTTGCTTTGAAGGGAAATAAGGTAAAAATGCCATATCGGAAGATGGCCTAACATGAAAAATGTATCCGTATCATCCAGCAAGACGTGCTTTATGGGGCCTTCATGTGCTTGGCAAATCAGAGGTTCTGCATGTCTACAATTGCAAATTGCATCATTTCAAATAAGAATGAAAAAGTTGAGAATTCAAAATGGATGAGAGCTTGATTTGGTTTTATGGAAACATAAAATTTTAAATATGGCTATACGATGACAATGTATTGCTTTTCTCTAGGCTTTTCTATTAATCACGGGTCGAACTCAGTGGCAAATAGAGATGCCTATAAATCTTTTTTTTCTGAAAATCATGACAAGCAGCATTATTTTTCTAACCTTTTCTGAATGCCCAAGTATTATTGCAGAGCTATGAGGTTACTGCCTCAAAGTTCTGCATTAATTCTCTGGCATTCAGACACAAGTCAGAGAATACTATAACAAAGTAGTCGTAACTTTGATGCCTGTCGAAGATTCAAACTGTGGTTAATTTAACCAAATGTACTTCGACAAATTTATCATATTTTAAATCTGCAAATGCTATGGTAAACGTCGACCGATAACAGCCTGCACTAGATTCGGATGAAAACGGCTAACAAAGAATTGGCACGAAGCAGTAGGATGGTCATTGGGATCTATCTATGGATGGTTATTCAGTGTAAACCACCATTCTCTTTATTTATACAGCTATTCCACTACGATACCCACATTCATCAGGATACACCTTTCGACAATGGAAAGCTGCAGAATTCAGAAATATTTATCATCGTTGAACGTCTTTCTTTGACAGTTGGGGAATAAACACAACAAGGTTGCTGTGTTGCCGTGCATTGCATGTTGAGAAAAACGAGTTACTCAGAGTTGCTCAAAATTAACTCAAATATTACTCATGATCAAAAGCTGTCTTGCCCCCAGGGTAAGGTTGTTGCAGCTAACGGTGGCATGATGTATATCGTTGCCTGCGGAACGGAAAATCTTCGATCGGTGTGCAGGGCCCGTAAATAAAGAACCGTAGAGGTAAAATGAAATGTATTGTAACCATACAATACAGTTTATTGTATTTACAATAAATCGTATTCCCCACAACGATAAAATTACAATAGAATGTATTGTTTGTACAATAGAATCTATGGTAAATGGAGAAATATACAATAGAACAAGGGGGTCGTTATGTATCTTAACCATACGAAAAATCACTTTTTCCCGAATAAACTTGAGCCATTTACCATTAATTGTATTGTTGTTCTATTGTTGAAAACTCTTACTATATGGGA